TAATTTTATTTTCACAACATCAACTGTATACAATAAAACATCAGGCATTGCTGTATGTACGCAGTATGCAATTGCAAGTACATTTCCCGTGTTGTGATCATTAGAATTAAATGCAATAGAAGCACCTCTTTGCAGCTTTCACTTTTGCTTCATCTTTGGCTGTTTTCTCTTGGCAACCACTTGTTCTACTCTCTTTCGAAAGCAGAATTACCATTTGTCAAAAGCATATGTGTTCCAGACTGATTTGTCTAAAGTCGAAATCTATTTCTCTTTTCAGATCTTTTATTATTTTTGCTTAACTAATCATTCTTCTTTCTGAGTATTTAGTGTATGAGAAGTTCGCACTTCATCCTTTGAATATTGCCTGTTTGTAATATAGGTAACTTCTGATGGAAAAGGTGAAGGATGTTCTTTCATCTCTGGCTGAAGATTCCCTCAGCAATGTGTCTAAAGACAGAAACAATCCAGATTTCTTTTCATGGAAGATTATGTTTTTACATAATCTAATGCTATGAGAAACGCCTACCTAATCATATTTTTTTCTTTCTCTAGCGTCCTATCTTCTATGGTATAGAGTACTATTTCCGTAAGGGATTCAAAACTAAAGCTCATCCTAGACGTGGTTAATTCATAGCTGCACTCTGCTCTAATGGGTATGATGGTTAATGATGATGAAGGAAAATGAGACCAGTCAGGTGACTGTGAAAAAAGGTCAACTGGAAAGAGCTCTCATAAGCTTCTGTAACATCTATAAAGAGATCACCGTATCAGCAAACTTCTTGTGTTGCGCATTTTTTTGCAGCTTTTGGGTGGAGTTGCGAAGTCTTAACTCATTTAGTACAACAGGGATAGCAGCGGTGTTGCTGACTGCCAACTTGAGGGGAATGTTCTTTGTACAGAGAATTATTTAAAATGAGCGGTTTGAAGGTTGCAGAAAAGGTATTTCCTGCGAGTTCAATGGCAGTGGTCGGGCTATACAGGAGAGCAGCCTGGAGTATGCCTGTTTGGGTTTGTGATGTCCCCGATAGCAGCAAAGATTGGAGGAGGCCGCATGCACCAACAAACATTTACTACTCCGGCACGGAGCATCGGGATGAAAAAGTCTCCTTAGAACCTAGAGAGAGAATTTCTTTCTTGTGAATGATGAACTTTGGCTCATGTGAGAAAAGCAAAGCCAATTGATTTAGTAGCAATTAACTCATCCAATATTGGAGAGCCGTGTGCAGTTTGGCATAATTCATTGAAAATTGCTGTGGCCATGCTGCAGGCCATTAGACGTTTCAAAACGTGGTGGGAGCTGATAGATATTGCGCACAGATACAGTCAAGAGATACAATAGTTAGGAGGGTCTCTGTAATATTGCCTTGTGCCAGCAGGTAGTAGCCTTCTTTTATCTTCCTAGAAAGCTTTAATAAGGATGCTGCCTGGGGGGAAGCGGAACTGGCTTACTATTTGACGGATTGGTTATCTGCCTGCCAGATAATTGTATTTCCTATTGCATTTGATACGATAGGATTCCACCTAAATTATCAATTACTTTGGTTTACAGGAGTTAATCTTGACATTGAGCCACAAGGAGCGTGGCCTTTTCTGCAGGTGAAGGAGGAGCTTTTCTGCTGCTGGTCAGAGGCAGTCCCAGAGGGGCCCTTTCTGCTCTGCCCTGACCTCTGCACTTATCAGCACCCACTTTCTGTAGAGACGTGAGTCCCATCTAGCGAAGATGCTATGAATGTTTTAGTCTGCACCTGCCCTGGCAGTATTCAGTACGGGGTAATTTCCAGGCAAGTTGTCCCAGCCTATACTGTGGTCACATCTTTTTTTCTGAGTCTTCCGTACCACAATCCAGTGCTCAGAGGGACCCAGATGTTCCCCAGCCATGTACAAATATTGCTCGGTTTCCCCTTCTCATTATGTAGGGCACCAACAAACAGGGCAGGTGACTTGGATTTCTAGTTATAACTCCTCAGTGTCATATTTAGCTATTCATCTAAACTGGTGTGATCTTTCCTGTGGAAGTCATTCTGTTCTGTGCTCTTGTCTACCTTTTGTGGCATTGCATTATGATAGCATCAACACTGATTTTAATATTCTTCACTTTTCAAGGCAGCAGTAAGTCATTGATCCTGTTATGTGACTGTCATCTGTAAATAACCATAATGGACCCAGTACATTTTGTGTATCTGAGAAGAAATCAGAATCAAGATACATAGTTAGCATATTCTGTTAGTTTGTTTTAAATGCATCATTAATGAGATTTTTAAACAAAGAGTGGAGGTTTTCCCATTTTTTTAATTAGAAGATGGAGAAGGAAAAAGAAAAAATAAATGACAGAAAAGCAGTTTTCTTATCATCTTTTTTTGTAATTGGATGACTTGCTTCAGTGCTGTGTGCCTATATTTAATTAATGATCTCAAACTTTGTTATGCTGTTTGTTAATGCTAGTCATTGTGCTGGCTGTGTCTCTTAGTTTATTTGCATATGTGTATGTGTGGAATATTCCCAAAGTAATGGTCTTTTGTTTGATACAGAAGTATAATCGCATTATACAACCTGAGAACGCACTTTTCTTCTTTGTTAATCATTTTAGTCTCCTGTTTCACCTTTGTTATTATAGAGTCGTAGAGTTTAATGCTGGTAAGGATGATTCAAACACAGCATGACCCATGTGCAGCCCTTCTGGTCACTGTGGTGCAGAGCCCTTCAACTCTGCTGGGCTGCGTCTTACCCCTGGCCAAAACTTCTTTCTGTTTTCTGCCTGTTCCAGTTGGGCTGATCTCTGCTTTTATGTCTGATATGGACAATAACAGCAGCATGCTAAATTCTGTTGAATGATGTTATCCGAGTATATTTAGTTTCCCTTATTGAGATGCATATATGTTCCCATTTAAGTAATGAAGTATTTAAAATGCCTTACTGGAAGAATGGAAGACAGTTTTACAACTGCAAAAATCCTGTAACACTATTTCTAGGATACTTTTTTTTCTGGGAAGATAAATTTTTAAATATAAATGTTCATCCCTCTCAGATGTCCCCCATCATCATCTCTAATGCACAGATCTGGCTGCAGTAACTTTTGCTAAAATATCTCTGGAAGAAAAAATCGGGTGATTGGTTTCACTGGTGAAAGTAATTCATTCCTCTGCAAGGAACAAGTACACCACTTGACTCCTGGTTCTTAAAGCACTGGAATTCTGTGATGGTTCAACAGTGCAGTTTGAATTATTTTCAAGAATAACACATGTACTGTCAATAAATCTGTGAGTTTGGGAAGGCATTTTAGCTGGAGCTTAAATCTTAAACAGATACCTGACAGTAACTCTAGTAATACCACTTTATGAGGTGCACACTGAGTAACCAGGCGGTAGACATCACTGGTGTTACAAAACACATAGCCTGGATATAGTTAATATTTGTAATGAAAAGTATTTTGGATGCTGAGTGCTTGTAGCGTCTTAATCTATTCAACAATATATCAAAGTACCTTTATAAGGAATATTGATCATTGACAATATTTTCCATTATCTGTCTGCAATAGATACTACCTCCTGAAAAAACCTGGATGAGTATATAACCCTTGAGAAACTACTCCCACATTTATAATTAGTAGTTTTATTTAAAAATTGCTGGATTGTCTGGAATAGATGCCTGAAGCACAGCGTGCAGATAACAGAGGCTATAGGAATGGCCACCTGCTCTGTTGTCTAGCAGATGCATTTCCGTGGTGGGTACCAAGAGACCCAACTGGGCAGTAGCTGGGCATAAGATACCACATGGCTGATGTTTCAGGGCCCTGCAAAGAACTGTCTTCTCATTACCCCTACTGCACAGTATAGAAGAGCTTTTGTGGTTATTTTTCCCCTCTTTGATCAGGCTTTTTGGATGGCCAGGGTGACAGACCACTCACGCAGCCTTGACAGGTCTCTGTGGTTGGCATCCTTCACAGAGTCCTCCCGACAAAGCGCTCTCACAGAGTCCGCACCATTTGTTCCTCCAGGCTGAGCACCCTGGTGCTGAGGAGGGGGCAGATGTGGTCTCTCAGGTTGCAAGCCTGGAGAATTAATGGGAAAATGGAAAGAGTCTCATGCAGAGTCCTTTTGTTTGGCAAAGGGAAGGTTTAAGTCCTTTTTCACTCGTTTCAGCCGACTGTGAGTCAGATCCATACTGCCTGTTATGTGATATGTTGGTCCGATGACTGACGAGGTTGCAGATATTTCTTCTTTTGAAGTCAGCAGCAAAGGCATTCACATAAATCATGGATTTTATTGAAACTGCAATTAAAACAAATCAGGCTTAATGCACACTGAAAGCCTTAGTAATTAGTATACAGGTGAACATGGAGAAAAAGGCACAATCTTAGCCATCCTTCCAAGCAAAACTGAAAAAAGAACGGTGTATATAATCGAACAGCATGTGAATATTAATGCACAAAATCCTCTGAGTCCCTAGTTCCCTGATGCAATTATTTTCTATTCACATTAATTGTTCCTAACAGATGACATTAATGACTTTGAGTTAAAATGTGTGCAAAGGAGGCCTTCAGCAGATCAATCCTGCTTAAAAATAGGGTCACTTTTGCAATCATTCACTCAAGGTGTAACAACTCGTAAATAAAACAACATTAACATGTTGATTGATTTATAAATGTTAATTTTGTAGTTCATTTTTATGCTTTTTCCTGAAACCTGTCAAACTCTATGGATAATGGTGAGACTCGTGTTCATTTGTCATCGTTGCATGTGAAGTAATGGTAAGTTGCAAAACAGTGACTAGAAGCAAAAGCAGAGTTTGTTTCGGATGAAGAATGATCCGTTCTGCTGACAGGAAGTCTTGGACAAAGTAAGCACAAAGAGCAACATTTCACGTTAGAACAAATCCTCTTTTACCTCAGGGTCTTCATTTCCCTTGAAATTTAACAGCAGAGTTTGAAATTTTAAAAATGCTGATCTGCTGAATATTTGACAAATGCTTATGCTTTGCTCCTTCTCTTCTGCCCCCTCCAGAAACTCCATTCACGCATCCTAGACCTCTCCTCTGGGGATTTGCTTTCAGAAGTAGAACGAAACCGCAGCCGCACTGTTGATGCCCAGCTTCACGTGAGTTTTTGTGCTGTCCTTGTACCCCTCCTCTGGAACCCTCCCTTTCACCTCTTAAGTCTGATGTCAGGGATGAGCCATAAAGCTGATCTCGGAATTGAAACACTGTTGAGGCAGATAACAATACTTTTTCTTCCTTCTGTTCTCTGAAATTCAATATTGTGTCCTCAGTTGTTACAGAAAGCAGATAGTGTCACTCTGTGCAAAAAAACCATAAATCTTAGCAATGTCCCCAATATACCTTTTTGGGTATTGATTACATCTCAGAATCTCTGAGAAATGGTCAAGGAGCTTTTTATTAAAGCCCATACACCATATTATTCACACTATTTTTATGATATATTATGTATGAACTTTTAAAAATTCATGGGCTCTGCATTTCTTTTTTTCAGATGGGGTTAGCTTTGTGCTTATTTGGCAAAACGTTAGCCAGTGTGGCTTTCATGTTTCATTGTCAAAGAGAAAAGTTGCTTAAAAAACAAAAGTCGCATAAAGGTAGAGGGAAACAAAGAGAATGAGAACAGAACATCGAACCTGTGTGTGCCTTTGGTCTTGCAGTATAGTAGTGCCAACAAAAATGTAATCTCATTTGTAATACATACTTTAATGAAAAGGCATTGTTTCAAAGGTTCACAAAAATGCTAACGACCCTTTGCATTATATGTAATTAAGCCTTCAGGTTAGGTTTTTCCTAATACAGAGTTTTGTGTCCGAGGTAGTCTGATTCTTCCTGTAATTTCTAGTGCAAATTATGCATTTAAATTGTAATACTATATTCAGGCCTTTTTGCTCTAATTTCATTAAAAGGTAATGACTTAAGAGTCATGATTACAAAAATTAACATTTCACTGTGTCAGTTAATAGACCCATATGCAAGTTAGATATATTTAATTAATGCATCATAAACATACTACTCAAAGTGCTTTCTCAAATAATTTAGAGAATAAAGGCAGATTGCAGGAGAAAATTCTACTTTCTCTCTTTAGTGGTCTGAATGCAATCTATAAATTGGGTAGACATCCTACTGCAGAATCTATAATGGCATGAAATTTTTTTGCACATTTTCTCATCTCTTAAACAATAAAGATGATTACAGTAACGTACTGTTAGTTTGCTTTGTTCAGATACCTGTTTTTCCTGTTGCTAAAACTGTGGGACCAAATGCCCTTCTCCTCTCCTTGGGTGCAAAGGAGACGGAGGGAGGGGGTGGGAAGCTCTCAGGTGGGCCGAAGATGACAGGAAGGGAAGGCAGTACTTGTCAGTGTGCTATGCTCTCCTCCTGTCTCCTACAGGAGATTCTTATAGGAAAGGATTTTACAGGCATCCTTGCCTTAAACACTGTGATGAGTGGGACATAGCCTAGTATAACGGGCAGAAATGTGGCATGAGGTGTTTTCCCAGTGACACAGCTGAAAGGCAATGAAATAGCCAGAACAAGCAGATGCTGCCATTGGCCTCTTCCCAGTCAGCCTTACAGGGAATGACGCCATCATAGCTGAGGAAGCTGATGAGAGGGGGTCTCCCATGGGAACCACGATGTCAGAAATAAAGAGCAATTCGTCTCAACAGAGCGAGAAAGTCTCTTTCCATGCCAAAACCACAGGCATCAGCCTGCTTCTGGTGCTGAAAGATGTATTCTTCCCAGAGCCAGTGGATTTAAAGCCTATTTCTCCTGCATCCATTTGACTTCCTAGGAGAACATGAACCAATAACTCCCAGAGGTGAAATGTGCTCTTGCTACCTCTAAATGATTTTCCCATTCATAGGTTTTGCCTGTGACAGGGAATAATGATTTGCCCTGTAGTTGCGTTTGTCAAAAACAGAACATTATTATGTCAGTTGAGCAATGAACAGCTGTACTGATGAACTCCTCAGCAGTAAAAATTCTACTCTGTCCCATTTAACTGAAGAAAGGTTCAACCCTACTAGTAGTAAATGGGAGGACGTGGGGAAATAAATGAAAGAAATTAGTAGAAGGCCAACAAATATGTTGGTGTATAAGAAGTGTGTACAAACAGTATTTTTCTAGAGATTTGCGTGAAGAAGCTGTGTCTACTGCATATACAGTTTTCGTAGTTCTTTTGTGTATTCAATAAATTTAGTTTTCTTGTGTCTTCCTGAATATAAAACTAAATTTTTCATCTAAGAAAAAGTAATCTGAGGTATCAGTAAGTATTGTTTGAGCTTCCCCTAATGAAATCCAAAGCAAAGTTTTATGAGACAGTCATGTCACTCTGTCTGGTGCTCCTGGTAATTAAAAAGATATCTGATTCAGTAAGGAAACTGGAGAATAGCATAACAGAATGGTGCAAGCACTTAACATTAAAGAAGCTTCAACACTGCTAGGCACAAGAGTATTAGTTTGAAAACAAATTAAAGGCATCCTAGATACTTCTACAGAGGTTTAATATTTAACCTAAAGTGCTATCTGCTCTTCATTACTCTCTTACTCAAAGCTGGCACTTAGTCACAGTCAGCTGAAATTGCATTTGGAGAGTGGCGATAACTACACAAGTACTAAAGGCAGCCATAAAGTGTCAATAAATTGCATAAGCAAGAGGCTTCAGCTGTCTGCAAGCGACACAAAGATGGATTGTCCTACGTCAGAGAGTTTCTTAGACAAAGCTTTGAACTAGATAGGAAACCAAAATTAGACTGTAATGGAGAGATTCCATTCTCAGTGGACATTCTGGTAGGGATACTAAATTAATTTGCCTTGTCCAGGGTGTACAGCCTCATCCGTTACGTTGTAGGGCTATAATGCAGTTGTCAAGATGTACTTGTATTCTTATAACTTTGTTTTCTGTATCTTACTGGCGCACACTGCTTATGTACGAAGCATAATTCAAATAGACTCAGAATTATCTTTAGCAAAAGAAGAGCAGAATATTGGTTTGAGAATAAAGAGAAAAGCATGAGGATTGTTTATTTTTCCCCTGACAAATAAAAGCATTAGCAATTTTTAATTTAGTTCTCTGTATTAAATGTGCCAGATGCTAATGGCATAACAGGAAGGTCTAAGTAGCTCACTTGCTTTTTCTTTGTCCTTCTTAATCAAGGGGAAGTTAAATGATCTTTTTCCACCCAGAAGATATTTGTATTTCTTCTCATATTTTAGGAATGCCAGCAGAATATGAAATCCAGTATACCTGTCTTGAAATGCCAGAGTCAATTAAATGTGACAGGTCCCAGCCGCCTGTATCCCCGCAGCAGCTGCAGTAGCAGTGAACTCTCCCTCTCGAGTGCTTGCAGCGAATATTCCAGTGGTTCCTCCTACACTTGGAACGATGGAAAGACATGCAGCAAAAGGGTAAATCAAATTAATTTTCTTCATTTATTAGCTTAAATTCATCTGAAACGAGATTAAATGAAAAACTGCCAATTTCAGAAAATTTTTTCACTTTCTTTTTTATATTTAAGTTATCACTACACTCTGTTAGGGTTCTCTCCCCAATGTCTCACTCTATCTCACTTTCTCTTCTTTTTTTTTTTTTTTTAAACAATTCCTTTATCACTCCAATTTGCTCACAGTTTCCCCCTTTATTCTGACATTTATTCTTTCACAATCCAAATTGTTCTTCTTCTTTATCTTAATCCTTCCATTCATATTGTTCTTCCTACAGGTTTTAAATGCACTGCAGCCTTCACGCCACTATAAATCATTTATTAAAAATGAACATTGCTATAAATAGCAATGTATGAAATGTAATGGCCTATGCAACTTCTAAATCTCTTTAATAAAGTGGTAACACTTTTTATTAACAGCACTTTTGAGTAACATGTGAGTTCTGTTTTGTTTTAACAGTCATCTGTGAGCTGGGATAAAAGAATAAGCATTGGTTCTTCGCTCCCAAGCAACCTCTCAAGTCCTGCAGATGATCTACCTCCAACTCGAATCAAGGAAAACCATATCTTAGAAGGGCTGAAGAAATTACAGAATCAAAAAATACTACTTGAATCACCTTCAGTAATATCAAAATGGGGTTACAAAGATTGCATGAACTCTAACGAAGGAATTTATTCCCCTGGAGTTAAATGTGGCAGCCATAATGAACAGACTCATTGTAAGCCAATGGAAAGAGGAAGTGTCTGCATTGAACACAACAAAACTTTCACTTACGATTCAGATTCGCATGATGATGCAGATGATTACTCTTCATCCTTACTGTTGCTGCAGGAAGTACCCAGCAAAGACTGCAGGACCTATTGTAACAAGTTAACTCACAGCATTTCTGACAGTCTCTTTGACTGGGGTCCTGATAGGAAACATTTGCCAGAAAGAAGTTCATATTTTAATTCAAAGGAAAGACCTGAAAAATTGACTAGTTCTGTCAGTGGGTTTCAGGCAGAAGTAAAATTGTGCACCAGAACAAAGCTGCCTGAGTTACAGTTAAATCAAAACCATGCTAATGTAGGCTGGAAGGACCTTAATTTTCAGCTTTCAGATACTGATGACAATGAAGTCTTGGATGAATTGCATATAGAAAGCAGTGATGAGAAAAGTCCATCGGATTTATTAACAACTCCTTTTACTGAGTACGCAAAGACCCCTGACATGCTCAAAGTCACGGAGAATTCTCAGTTTGTATCTACTGACAAAGAGGAAAAAGAGATATCTGCTCACTCAGACATTAGGCCAAAGACATGTAATTTCATTAAACAACAAACAGTTGTTAAAAAGACCTCTTCTGAAGAGTGCATTACTGTAATATTTGATGCTGAGGATGGTGAGCCTATTGAATTCAGCTCACATCAAACCGGAGTTGTCACTTTAACAAGAAATGAAATTTCAATCAACCAGCCACAAACTAGGCCCAGTGCAGAATATACTGAACTTATAGCTCAGGGAATAACTGATTTGCAGACAGGAACCAATGCTAGAAACTACACTGCTCTAGAAAGACCCGAAGACAAAACCGAGAAACAGACTCTTGAAGATAATACAGGGAATAAAAATACAGTTGTCCCCATGACCTGCAGTGAATCTTCACGCTGTGGAAGAGCGACTGTGCAAAACATTTCACGACAAAAACTAGTGAAGCCAGTGTATGATGTATCATACAAGGCTAATTCAAGCACTGATGTGCATGCAGGAATCCACCAAAAGCCAAACTTGACTAAAATACCCAGCAGAGGTAAATTTTCCCCGCAGAAAACTGTGATGACAGAGAGTGAAGAGACACCTGTAGCTCAACCAGTGGGCCCTACAACCCTTGAAAAATCACCTTCTCTGCCACCTGTAAAGCTTTCGAGATTCAAAAAGGCACAAAGTCCACCTCATAATTTTGACTCAAAACTCGACTTCCAGATTCCAAAGCCCCCTGCCCATCTTCTGCCCGGCTTGAAACGTCCAAGCAGAAGTGATGGGTCAAAGTATCCAAAGAGTCAGAATCCAGCATCACCACCGTTGCCTCAGCACCTTACAGAGCCCAGTGACTATGGAGAATCTCCAACCAGAGACTTCCACTGTGATTTAGCAAGTGCAGAAGCCCGATCACCATCCCCACCCCTTCCTCCAGGCAGGTCAACTTCCTTGTTGATTCGGCCTAATTATGCTCATTCTCCACCTGTAGCAGTAAAGTTAGGAGGAGCTTGTCCCAGTGAAACAGAGAAAAATGTACTGAAACCATCACTGTTAAAAGGAACTGTGAACTCTGGCTTTCATAATCAATCTCGTCATGAAATACAAGCAAAAAATGTATCTCCTGGAGCCAAAATTGAATTATCTTACCTTCAAGAAAATGCAGAAGCAATTATGCAAAATAACTGTATATCTCAGCAACCCCATAGTGCATGCCAAGGACTTTCCAAAGTTTCCACAAAGCAAGTCTGCCCGAAAAGCCCTAATCAGCTGGGTCTCCACAAGAATCGTGAATTTTCCAGCATAGACTTTCAAACTGCCAGATCCTTTTCTCTGGGTTGTCCTTCACAGAACACATATTCTAGCAAAAAAGACATTTCCAGTGACAGTGGGATGAATCAGCCACAAAAGATGCCAAACATTCCCCCCCCAACTCCTCAATGTCACACAGCAAGCACAAGTGAGCCTTTACTGCCTCAGGTAAACAATTCCCCATTGTCAACACTGTTTCATGGTAGTGAAACTGCACATGCTTCCCAAAACTCTAATGAGAAAGGAATGAAAACCCGTCTCCCTGTAGGACTGAAATTATTTGTCAAATCTCCCCAACTTCTCCGAAAGAGCTCTACTGTACCAGGGAAGCAGGAAAAAGACAGTATAAATGCAGCTTCCAAAAGTAGCGTGAGTTCAGGTAAGTACAAGCAAAATGAATCTCTAAGTGTAACCACTAGAGGTGCAACAGATGCCGAATTAAAAGACTCAACCTCTGATACTGAGGTAAAAAATAGTTGTACTGTGGGACTTAGTATGGATACAGCATCACCTCATTCACATGAAAGCTGCAACTTGGTGGTAGAAAGAGTAGATAGATTGGAAAACAAATTAGTTAAGAGATCTGTTTCTTCTAGCAACAAGTCGCACTTGAAGCCAGCTCTGGGCATGAATGGAGCAAAAGCTCGTAGTCAGAGTTTTAGCATTCATACAGGGGAAAAACCATCTGCCCCTGGGACAGAAGGTCTAGGAAAAGTACGGACTCAGATTATTACAAACACTTCTGACAGAGGAAATTCTCTAACAAGGCAGAACTCAGCCATGGAAGGGCTTCAAATCAAAGCCATTCCTGGGTCGACGGTGACACCAGAGACTCTTTCATGTGCTCCTAAAACCACAGAGAATTCTTACTCTAGACAAGGTTCTTTTGGAAATGTGAGTAGTTGCAATAGCCAGCATGGAAGCCCAAGCAAGCTGCCCTTCAGATCTTCTTCAAAAGTGGACTTATATCACAGCACTTCAAAATGTGATGGAAACAAACCATTTTCTCAGAGGGATGCACACAGTCTATCTGTCCAGAGTGAGAAAAGCACTGAAAGTTTTAAACATGAAGCTCTAAGTAAAAAAAGTGTTCTGCCAGCAGAATTGGAGTTAGAAGTGTCAGCTACTGTATCTTCCAAACAAATTTCAGCATTTCAAGGCTCAGATGGAATAAAGTGTCCTCTTAAGCTGGAAGCAACAAAGTCACGAAGACAGCAAATGTCTTTAAGGTTAGCAGAAGCCTCTGAGAAGGTTACCGATATTTTATGTTCACCAACTCAACAACCTACAATAGAGGAGAAAGTCATGTTATGCATCCAAGAAAATGTGCAGAAGGGTCAAGGACAACCCAAATCTCCCACTGTGGAGACTAAACAAAAGAGTGGACCCTCTCTAGCTAGTTGGTTTGGCTTTCGGAAGAGTAAACTCCCAGCATTGAGCAGCAGGAAGACTGATATTCCTAAAACAAAGGTAGAAAAAAAAGATGTAAAAGTTTCAGGATTTGGAATTAAGCAGGCAAAATTAGAGAGAAGAAAGGAAAAAAAGAAAACTGAACAGCACTGTGAAATAGAAAATGAAATCAACAGGAAAACAGACAACGGTGACATTTTGGCTGATGTCATGGAGAGCAAAGTTATGAAACCTTCACAAGACACACCTGATGAGATGGAGAATGAACAAGTCAAAGGTTCCACCACAGCTACATACTCACCAAAAGACAGTTTTATGAAAGAGCTTTTGAACAGGTAAAACTGGAACAAAATTTGTTATGTGTTGTCGTACACTGTAGCTTTACAGATGCTCAGATGATAAATTCAATGTATGTTCCTTTTAGACTAAGAATGCACAGTAGCAATCAGTAGGTACATTTTCAGGACTTAATCTCTACAACAAAGCCCAAACACATTAATGATAATGAGATTATAATGTTGTTCATGTTATTTTGTTAACCAAACCTATGGCCTTTGAAATTGAAGAATGGCAAGTTGCATTCAAACTGATAGAAATTCAAATGATTCCAGAAATCAAGAAACTAGGCAGATGGTGTGTAAAGATAGAGGATAATTAGCTGCATGTTTTAATGTGTTCTGTCTTCATGTACTGTAACTAGCAAACATGTATTTGGTAACTAATCAGAATTAATTACATTTCTAGATCCCACAGCCTTCGGTCACAGAAGAACTTAGCAATTGCTATACTGTGTTTTCACATTTGCCCCACAGCAGTCCCAAATATAATATAAATCATTATATGTGAAGGACTAAATTGATATACTACCTGAAATTGCAAGTGACAGATTTGATCAAGGCTAGTTAGAAACATTTATCACTCAAAGGTCTAGAGACAGAAAGATACAGAGAGGTTACTTTAAACATTAAAGGAATGGAAAAGTAGAGTGATTGAAGAAGGGCAATGTAATTTATCAGAGGAATCACTCTCTACCTGCAGAGTTGATAAGAAAGCAGCTCAGCAGACAGAAAGTGGATCAAATAATGTTTCCTACAGGAGTGTGTCGAAGGGCAGCTCCCAGGGCTCCTCTCTTCTCAGCAACTCTATCAGCTCTCAAGGAAACCACAAGAAAAACAGCAACACAAAAGCTGATATGGAAATGCAGAATCAGACCCTGGTAAGTGCTTTAGTACATGAAAACATTATTACCTTCTTTTTAACTTCTGGATGTGTTCCTTATTGCCAGTACAGACAAACGGGTTAATAACTGTTTATGTATGATAGAAGGATTTTGTGTAGCTAGAGAGTTGTGAACTAATACAAAAGTTGGCAGTTTGACTGTAGGCCAGATTATACAGCTAGTCATGAAGATCCTACTGCTACTGCTGGCAATTCAATTCCAGTGGAGATGTATGCACAATGATGCTATAATCATCCTGTAGTAGAGTGAAATAATAGGACCATTTTCTTTTTTTTTTTTCATTTTTTCCCCTTTCCCTGAAACTTGCATGCCAGTGTTGAACGTCCTCTGAATGTTATAGAAATCATTAAGCCTAAAAAGTGCACTGCTGATGGGAAAAAGCAAAGTATTTGACCACAATTGGGAATATTTGTCATTTCAGAGGGAGTCTTTCAAAAGCAAAAAGAAACATTTGATGCCATCTTTCTTTGTACCATGGAAAATCTCCCCCTTTAATGCCCTGTAGTTAGTTTTATGCTTCAATAAGGTACTAAATATACCTGATACTTTAATGTTCCCAGTGAGTAGGAATGTTACAATTTAGAAGAAAAATCATTTTACTTTCTCTTAGCTGCTAGATTCTGGTTCTTCAAAGCTTAAGTGAGAGGCTTACTTTCCTGCATCAAGAAATGTACAGACAAAGTCAAGGATTGTAGCAGCAAGTCAGACTGAATGAGTGCCCTGCCTTCTGAAGCTTCTAATAATTAACCTTATAATTTAGTGAGCGATATCTTGCCCAGCAAGGGCCTTTCCCAAGATGTTTTCAAGTTGAAGCACCAGCAGCACGGAAATGCTTTGACCTGATGAGCATTTTTTCCTCATTCCTGATAGCTATATTCACTATATTATTATGATGATTATTAACAATAATCACAATTTTTACAAATTTGTGTCAAATGTAATACTGAACATGAAGCTGAGGCAATTACTTTTGTTCTGATAAAACTGAGTTGCTGAAGTACAGCACATGCAACTATTTCATCTGAGAAAATTTGAAATACAAATTCTTTGGGAAGTGTTTCAAGGGTAAAACAAATTTTGAAGAGCTTCAAAAAGCTTTGTAATGGGAACTGCAGAAACTCTTAGGTTAGTATTGACATTTAGGATGCTTAAGGTTAAAGTATCCCACACATGGTTTCAACTTCTGTCAAATGTTTTTTGCACTTTAATGTGGATATCTTTCGTAAGAACATCTGCAAGGTCATTTTTTAAAACTTACAGGGAACATATGCAGAATGAATGTGTTTGAAAACTTTTTCCTCCTGGCTCTTGTGGTATCATCTGTTCTGTGAAAATGTAGATGTCTCCTGCATTATAAAACCACAAATTATAAGCATATCTGAGGCTGTCCTTGTAGTGTCACTGAAAGGAAAGAGAGAGAATGAAAGTCTGGAAATGTGCAATATGCAGGAAATTCAATCCAACTGATCTAGAACGTTGATAGCAAAGCAGAGCCCCTTATCAGAGCCACTCAGTTTAACTATGCCCCATTTAATATGGTCCTGACAGCTTAGGGTATCTCTTCACTGTACAAAAGTACAAAAAACCCTACACATTGCTTCTGCAGTCTCTTTCTAACTTACTATTTTCTAACGCTGCAATAATTTGCTGTGCTTTTTGTCTGTCATTTTGCGAAGCCTTTCTAAATGCAGCAATAATAGTTATTTAGGACTTTAAATCTTCAAGAAACACTTTGTTTTATCAGGAAACAACAAAGATTATCCTTAGTACACATAAATAATGGAGAAGTGTTAATTATACTGTTTAGTTCTTAAGAACATGTTAGTCATTGGGAAAAGGCACTACCTGTCCTATACCATATACTATTTTTTCTGCTGGGAATCAAAGTATTTTTTGTATTATTTTTGAAACTTACATTTCATTGTATACTTCATCATTTTTAGTTTCATATTGTGTTTTTTGGGATGCTTAATTCCTAAAAGAAATACCTAGTTCCAAAAGACTGAGGGCATGTAGAATAACAAGATTAAAAACGCGCTTACAGCGCTTAATGCTAGTTTATGAAAGAGATATAACTTAAGATTCCACAGTATGTGATATTTCATCATGTCCTCCAAACTTCTTCAACAAAAACAATGGAAAATCTTGAAATTCAAAGTTCATGCATCTTATTAGTATGATTTCCAGTTATTCTTTGGTATCTGTTTACTTTGAAGCAGGTTGCAAAGGACTGGGAGATAGCTGTGACTGAAAACAGTTGGATGCAGTGGAATGGACTGTTGTGAATTATTTTGCTTGTAAAAAGACAAAATTAATGCTTTTGGAGAAAACAGTATAAATCTTTTGAAAAGCCCTAAACTAAGAAGTTTTCTTTCATTTTTTGAACAATGCGGGGTGCATTCAGTCATATAGGTTCAGTGTGGAAGCTGCTGTATTTCAAAACTGCGTATCATATATATATTGCTTCTTTAAATCCTGGCTATAACATTTTCTAAAAATAATTTTCTGCCAAGTTTTTCCTTTAAAGCCTATTGAATTTTTGATGATGAAATCTATTCTCTTATGACGTGCCACGTAAAGACTTGGGGCACTATTATGCCATAACATATGCACCAATTACCTCTGATTTCTGTTCATACAAAGAACGTTACTGCTAGACTGCCACTGAATTTATGGAAAAAGCAATGTTCCACCAATGGTGGCCTTGTGCATTCACCTTCAGAGGGATATGCTTCCCGTTAGTGTTCATCAAAAAAAGCACTTTGCTCTAAAGGCCAGCCAACAGAAATACATAATCCTTTAGCCCACACCAAGGATATTCCATATTCTCCAATACTTTTTCATGTCCTTGGCTGGAGCTTAAGGTGAGATGCAATCATTTTCTGTGCTGCACTGCTTCATTTCATCTTTGTGATTTTATTACAGACCAGCGTAATTTAGAAAAGCCATGGGCTTTACTTTGTGAGGTGAAAGTGTGGCACCAAAAAGCAGGAGTTTTGTGCAGCGCTGTCTCTCTGCAGTCTGTGTGTTTGGGGAATACCCAGAGATCTATCCTAATATTGTGAAATGTCACATCAGCAGCAAGCCACAGACCACCATGCAGTCTGCAAATGTGAGAAATTGTTCTGCCCGTAATTTGATGCCAAATGATTACATGCTCTTCTCTTCATTTTCCATAGCCTGGAGAGCATCACTTCCAAAGAAAAAAAAGATGTAATCAAAACTCTGGGATTAAGAGATCTGTAAATATAGAGATCAAGTCTTTCATGCCTTACTGAGGCGAGTCACAAGAGGTCAACAGGGCTACGTGTGTAAGCCAGACAAGCAGAATATATACTATGATGAAAGATATGTCAGGCAAGCAATGATAAATTCTACTGGTTTAAATTACAAAACATACTTAACGTTATTGTGAGTGTGCTGCAAGTATTTTCAAACAGCAGAGTGATTAACAGATAATTTAAAATCTCTGAGATATTGAAAGTAATTTTTTCTGCAGTGCTGGCTTTACTCCTCTCAGCACCCTGAAAGTGTCTTCATTCCAGTTTGATTTATGTAGCGTGGCAGAAAAATATGTCCCTGGATCTGAATTATGGCCACTGATGGCATGTAATGGAGGGGGTTTTCACTATATTCTAGGAAATACTCAGATTTTACATACACTTGGGAAGTAAGAGTGCAGGAGAACAGAACAAAAATAAGCCTTCAGCTGAAAAACAGAATATCTGGTGGGTTTGAATAACACGTACTTGAAGAACACATACAGGCACTTAATTTGCACTGCATTCTTAAACAACGTTTTTTCCCTCTGTTTAGCTAATAAATGCTTTTAAACAGAGGTAGAAAGCAAAGCACCAAAGTTCAGCAAACTGAACTAGACTGATGCCACATCACATTTTAAGTTCACATTGTAGAATTGGAAACATGACATTTCTAGAAAGAAACAAAGAAGTCAGGAGTCCTGAGCATTTTTTTTCATATGCAGATAAAGACTTTTCCTTTTGAGGATTTGTATCTTCCAAGGGTATTTTTTGACTGCTGCATATTGTGATTTTGAATGAAATTGAGACAGATTATATACTTCCACTCTTGTCTGTCCTGTAACTTTACTCTGTTTTATTTCTGAAAAGATACTCTGTAGGTATCATGAAGCAAAATAAACAGAGTCACAGATGTTCTTCACTTTTGTTGTTGTACTATGTACAGGCCAAAGTAGTCACAGAAAACCTGCAAGAAGAAGAGGAGGACACCATGACAAGGACTACATGTCAGAGTCATGTGATAGGTACAAAATTATATTTTACACTGGATTTTATTGCTGTCTCAGTTCTTGGAAAAAAAATATGTTTAATGCTTATTACTTTATTTGTTTGCCCACATAATGTCAAGATTATCATTCATTTAGCTCTATTCCTGAATGGCCAGACTTCACCAGCTCGATCAAAGATGAGTACAGACCATTACCGATAGTGGAGCAGAACAGTGCCTGACAGAAGGGCTTTGGAGTCTGACCATGAAAGATCATTTCAGCTTCCCAAACTAGTGGGTTATATGTAATGGCTTAACTCAAAGATTGCTGTGCATCGTATTTTCAGTGGGAATAATACCGATACACTGTAGCCCTGTCATTTGGCCTTGAATTGGTAAAATTCAGAATAGAATTCAGAATAATTATAGTAATAAGCTAAACTAGAAGAAGTGGCAAAACAGCTGTTCAGAAGACCTTAAAGCTGTCACCGTAAATACAGTGCCCTTGCTCTATGCTTTTCAGGAGTGCAGCACCACCCACCTTGCTTCTTGACTGGCACATGATAATTTTTTCCCTCAGTACACATTAAAATACCTAATAGGCAATGGAGGACAGAACAGAAGTCTGTCTGGGATCTGTATTAGAGCAGTGTGTCACTAATATAAGGAGCTGACTGAACAAAAATTATTCTCCTTTATCAAGTTCCCTTTGCAGGCCAAGACTGCAGCAATAGTTAAAAACTGATTCAGTGTTTTCAGGACACTGTAAGTGTTTTTTGTGGCCAGAAAAATAATACTATCAACCCAGCAAGTGGGACTGAGCAGAGGTATCATATCAAAACACATTTTTCTTTGGGGTAGTAGGAGGATGTTTGCATCTTTTATTGACTTGTACATCCTTCTCAGTCCCAAATTCAGCTAAGTAAACTCACTCTCTTACTTGCAGAAAAGATCCCTAAACTCTTCTCTCTCTAATAACCCAGCCATAATTGGCTCCATTACAGTAACTAAATAACAAGAACTTTGAACAATGCAGTGTAAGACTCTAAGGGGATTCTGTGAGTGGGTAGGCACTAGCTCTGAAAGGAAAAATACATGCTCCTCACTCACTGAATAAAGAACTTACTTTCTGTTACCTGAAAAAGAGAATAACTCTCTTTAAGATTGTTCAGAATTATTCTTCCTCAGATGGAAATAATTATTTTGCCTCCGCCCCAAAATTCTCAAATCTTTTACTTTGAATTGATGTGAAATATATGGGTTTAAATTTTTAATCCAGATACCGAACAAGAAAAGAAACAGCTATTTGAAGAGCTTTTTCCTTAAAAGACTCTGGTTCTTCCTTGGTGTTCATCAGTGTAATTGGTGGTTATGACTAAGACTTAATTGCTGTATATTTTGATATATTACTTTGTTATTGGGTTCTGTAATGCGTCATGCAGGTGGCTTTTGAGGGTGTTGACATTTTGCCCCTCCCACAAGCACCAAATCTCAGTCTCTGACAGGAAACAGTGGTTATGGAGCAGGTTGGTTGGCATTCCCCAAAGTCAGACTTTGGTTGTGCCTTGGGTTCATGAGGCCCTCAGTTAGCTGGGAGAGGTCATCACTGTGTGTTCAGCCCTTCTGTGCACTAAAGTCCTTTTTTGCAAAGAGAAAACCTTTTTCTTGACCTTTTTCAGGGCTGATGACATGGATAAAGTGACAGGTAGGTCTGTGGCTCAGGTCTATACAAATCCACAGCATGTAGTGCTGCAGAGATGCCAGGTAACGCTGCTGAAATTCCTATAGCTCGTACAAAGACCTTTCCATCATCTGAATTATACCAACTGCAAAAGCCTCTTCTTTTCCCTAGACAATGCCATCTCTTCAAGGCTTGCCATGGGATGCCAGCTATCCCTATTCTGCCTTGTCAAACCATCTACAATAACTAAAGGAGTTTGTTCTGAGGATCTAGTTGTTCATGTGGGAAACTCTTTGATGATGGGAGACGTGCAATAGGTAGTATTGGCACATCAAAAATAACAGAAGTCTAAGCAAATTAGTTAACGTTCTCACAACGAGTCCTAGTGCAGAATGTAGCAATTATTGCTTATTTTGGCAGGACTAGCCCAAGCCTGGGAAATTAGAAGCATGGATCTAAGCATATGCCTGAATACTCCTGAATCAGTATTGTGCTGTGTTTTATTCCACTGTGTTTTATCTTGCATTGGCATTTTTACTGCTGCATTTCTGCTTGCTCTTTGTGGATAACAAGCATTCCTAGGTCCTGTTCAGATTCTTTTACCAAATTCCTTGATAGAGGTTCTGACATTTTTTGATACAAAAGTTTTCATAGAAAGATACTGATATTTTTCACCTTGGTGCAGCTTTAAGAAATGTTCATTTGGAATATTTCCTATGTCAACTTGTGGTTATTAGTAAAAAACATACACAAGAACTTGTGAAGGTGATAAAGAACTTGCTGATATGGAGAATTACCTGTGATGTGAGAGACCCAAGTTCAGCTTTTTTGTTACCAACTCCTAAGCTTCTGGCTGTCAGAAGCAGAGAGTGATCCAGGAAGGATGGCTCTGGAAATGCTCTGCCTCGCTGCCATCAGGCACGTGATAGTGAGCCAGGTCCTTCATCTGATCAAGGAGGGCAGTTCGTGTCCTGGTGGAGGCTTTTGGTCTGTGGCTTTCATGGAACAGTTTTCACAGTGTTGTGGTTCTGCCAGAACAGGAACATCTTGGAAATCTTGAAAATTTCAGTGGGCTGTAAACTCATTTCTTACTGCATTCTTCACCATCATAAACAGGATTTTTAAGAAAACAGTTCACTGTGGTTTTGTAGATGCACTTTAATGAGTTTATTTACTGCTTTTGATATAAATTGTTAACAAAATAGAGCTGAATGTATAAAAGATGTAGAAAAGCTATGATTAAGCAAGGAAGATGTTCTTTACATAGTAGGAAAAACATGTGTTGCTGTAATTGTCACTGTAAAACACCTAAATTGACATCAGTTCTGCCTACTTAGCTAAGAAACACGATACATATAACTGAACACGCTTTAGGTTTGGTATCGTGTAAGACAATGCTAGTTCATCACTTTCTAATAATGAGATACTCCTGGGTGCATTAAAAAATGTGTAAAATGCCAGTTTCTAGGTTTTTAATTTATTGTCAGTTGTTGATCTAAACAAATTTAAGTATTTTGCTGACTCTTTGGATTTGCTAAATTGAAATAATACAGAATGCACAGTAATATAAAATTTTCTTTCTAGTATACCTGTATCTCAGAAACACATGATCATTTCCATATGAAGCAGTCATTTATATTGTTCTATACTGTATTTAAACAGTTTGAAACATTTAAATATTTGAAACATTTGTAAAAAACTTAAAACAAAAATATGTTATACAGAGGATGCCTTTGCTGTACTGCAGTGAGGATGCCAAATGTGGGCCTGCAGTACAGATGCTACCTGTGCTCTCACTCCCCACAGACAGGAGACCTAAGAATTCATGAGTATCATTTTCAGGTCTAGTTATCTTCAGAACTCCTTCCTCAAGTCCTTTGAAATAAAGTAGTTGAGTTTTGAAAGAGTGATGAAGGGGGAAATGCTAAAGTACTAAAGGTTGACTTTCCCTTCATTTCATGAGAGACTCCTCAGCTCAGATAGGTACAGCAGGGTCTCCAGTTATTCCTGTAAATAAAATTATTTTATTGAATGCAAAGACAATGTGTCAAGGTCCTGACAGTATCACTCCCATGTAAACATAAAAAGCCTTAATTTTACAAAAAATATATATCTGTTTACCCAGGAGAGTAGAATTGTCTGTGTTTGCCTTGAAATTCCACATTGTCTCAATGGGCAAAATAATTACAAGAGAGTTACCACTGACCCCGTTACCTAGAGAAGTTAATAATTGGATATGTTGAGGAAAAAAAGCACTTGTGAGGAAGTTTAATATTTGATATTTCAAGTACTGTTTCAAATTAGCAGCCTCACCTGGAAAAGTGTGATTGTATTAATTAGAATGTATTAAGAGTTTTCATTGATAAACAGCTTCAAGGGAAAAGCCAAAAATCCATGGCACAAGCAAATGAATGCTAATTACTGAATAATTCATTCTTGCAGACAGTTTCACATGAGAATACTATGGTATACAGTAACAGTCATACCAAAGACACTTGCCTTGATTATAATATTCACCTATTATGGCTAAAATATGGGCACCTTAAAGGTGCAATAGTATTTTTGGCTATACATGTCCTTACATAACTTAAAAGGATCCTGACTATTTTCTTTTTAGGAATATATATCTGTAATGAAGAGAAAAGTTAGTCGTAATTAATCATATAATTCTTCAGTATTGATATAGAACTATGCTGAGACTGAAGGAGGAAATACCGTGTGTGATATTTTTTCAAACCCCAACACTTAGGTGATTTACCAAACCCCGTGTGTTAAAGCTGCAGGATACTCATTTCTCTGGGACCAGTTTCCTTTTTTTGTCACCCCAAATGAGTGACAATGTTGCTAGAGAAGAGAGTCAACATTGAATGTGCTTTTTGCTAATGATATACTTAAGGTTCACACAAAACACAATCTCAGCTTATATTCAACCTAAAGAGACTGATGTGCCTCAGAAGGTCTTAAGTCTGTTCTTAAATTTATACTCAGGTTTCAGTACAAAGAAAGAGGATTTTTTTTTTTTATGTCTGGGTATTGTTGGTGCTGTCTGCTCCACTGGAAGCACAAGATACGACATACTGAAGTTGAATGGGGAGTTAATTGCCTGAGACAGACTGGAGTTAGAATCCACAGTAGAATGATTCAGAGGTCTTGGAAAGAAATTATCTAACTGTGGCATTGACCTCTATTGTTTGTTTGGAGTATTTCAGGTGAAATTCAGAGCCAGGCAAAGATTACAATAAATGTAGTCAAAATTCTTGAAACGTCAAAGAAAGACTTGGGTCTAATATTTGTCAAATTTCCATTAGAGGTCTGGATAAGTTGCTCAGAATTGATTCATCCAACCTTAAATGGGA